CAGATGCATGTAAAGAGTGAGTCTGATGAACCACTGATACTTAAAAAGCAACACACTAAATTAGAGAGGGTGATCCTATTTTTTAAGTAAGTCTAGAGAATGCAGGCAAGAAGAAAAGATTACAATAGTTAATTAATTCTAAATAACTTAAGGCTACATTTAACTATCAAAACACTCAACAGACAGAAAGAACTTGAAACAGGAATTCTGAATTGTCCCCTTGTCCTTACAGAATAGTTTACAAAAAAAATATTCAAATAGTTAGATGAAAGCAGCTGCAAAAAAAAAAAAAAAAAAAGTCACTACTGTATAACTCAATAATAACAGATTCTTTTAAGAATTTCAGGCTATGCAACTAAAAAGAGCTATACGAACTCAGGCTTCAATATTCTTTCAACCTTAAAAGAATGCAAGACTTTATTCTTATTTACATTTACTTTTTATATTTATTTTAGGGTGTTTAATGTGATTCCGTGTGCAGTTCAAACTATGTGTCTGAATAAGTCAAACTATCCTCTACCAAGGAGAACTTAAGTCTTTTCCTTTTGCACCTGTCTCCTCACCTAAAAAAACAAGAACGAGGACATCCTAATTCACAGGGTACTGAAGGAAACTGTAAAAGCAACTTTTATTCTCCTGATGCAATTGTCGTCTCTGAGGCTTACTACCTGTCTGCTAAACTAGGCCTAGTCTTAGAAGCCTCTACCCTCCAGAACAATCTAACCTAGGCCTCTGCTGTGTCCTTACAGCCTCTGAGACTTATTGCTAAATAAGTGCACCCTTTTGAGTTCTTTCTGAATTCTTGCTGGCTGGTTCAACTCAGTTGTTCTGCCTCAAACTTTTCTCCAAGCTGACTGATCCAAACTGGCTTCTCTCACTTCTTACTGAATTGTTTTTCTTAGATTCAAAATAACTCTAGCAATATGTTCTAATCTGGCTCCTTCTCATTCTCTGGCTCATTCTGTCTTCTGCTTCTATCTTGTTCTCTCTCTCTGCAACCTGTCTCTGTAAAACTTCACAGTAAAACTGCCTCCTCTTCTCTCCCCTCCTCTGCCCACCTCTCCTCACCTCTCTTTTCTCTCCCCTCTTTCCTCCCTCCACCCCGTCTCTCCAATTCCCTGTTCTCATGACAGTCAGACATATCCTATACTGTCCAATATTTCTCTGATTCATCACTTTGTCTGCCTATCAATTAGACATTTCTTTCAAACATGGGTGCTTCTTTCTACAAACTACTTTACCATCACCATTTGAGTTTAAAGGTATGAACTATGGGTACGTCTGCATTCCAGCCGCATCACACACACCTAGATCATCTTTGGATATGATGAGATCAGCCATGTTGCTGGATTAAAATTATTCTACTGGAAACACAAGACACAATATAAGAGAATTGTTGACACACCGCTGAATGAATCACAAGAAGTTAGAAAAGTTAGCTATGCTGAATTTGTGCTCACTACAAAAATGATAAAGAGGGATAACAAATTCTATAAGCTTTTTCATTTGAAATCATTTGGATTGGGCACAATCTGTCAGAATTCTATCTTCACCTCATCTCAAAATCTATTCTAGCAAATGTTACTCAGGAACCAAGAGGCTCCATCTTTTCCCATTATGCCTCATATGGTTAAAAGCTTCATATGAAGTCATTCCAAAGAAGTCCTCACATTCCAGAAAATACCCTTCTCAAATCACTCATTTTTAATTTTTAAATAAAACTGGAGCCAGGACACTTGTCATAATATGTTAAGTACAAATTCATTCGTAAAACAATCTTAACATAGAAATTAAAAGAGTTCAAGGTGAATATCCTAAGCGCAGACCACTACAAATAATTCTAAAAAATAATAATAATACATATTGTAGATATTTTTTAATTCTCATTTATGTAGGCTAGTGCCTATCTGGCTCGCATTGATATGTCTCTTAAGACCTATTTATCCATATGAATATACAAACACCCATATACAAAACAAATAAATGTAAACAAAAATATTTAATGAACTAGAAGCCAACCTACTGATCTTGAATATCTGTCTACCAACTTAGACTTTCCTTTCCCATAAAGAAAAGGAAATAAACACAGAACTGATGTCAATCTTAGGACCACTTTCTCACTGGAGGTCTCTACAGGCTCAACTTCATAGTGGAAAGGAGGCTACAAAATAAATACAGAGATTGGGAGCACAAAACAGACTTCAAAAAAAGTCTCATACACCTAATCTTCATCATAGAGACTAATTAGCACCCTCTGTGGATTGTCATACTAAAAGCTATGTCTTAGAAAAACACAAGATCTAATCTAAATGTGAGAAGTGATATGAGGGCAGGGGTACAAACATGCACAATCATATTAAAATGAAGGAAACCTAATGATACAACAAATATCTTAAGTAGCAAGTGTTGCTATTTTGAAACAGAAAACCAACTTATCTGTTAGTAGATTCATATCCTAAATGGGTAGAATGTGTGCTGGAAAACCTGTCAGGATAGCAGGGGTAAGAATGGATGACTAATCATAATTTTACCCTCTTCAGGCAAGGAAACGGCAGCTCACAGAACACAAGCTTAATAGGTAGGCTGCCAACACTAGTCCTGTCAGAACACATGACTGTGGTTTCACTTTTTCTTTTTTACCTGCTGGTTTTTTTCTCTGCAATGGCATTATAACTGAATTCGAATGTTAATGTAATAGGTAACTGCTTCCTTCAATCACTGGTCACTGGTTCCTGGTTCCTCTCTACCGTTCACCTTATTGACCCGAATCTCCCTTACTGCCCCTGAAGTACTGTGCCTCTGCAATTTCCTAAAGGATTACAAAACATTTATAAAAGAGATTTCCATTAATATTTCCCAGATGGGTTGGATCTCTTTCTACTCAATATTTTAAACTCATTATTCTCAACACATACTGTAGGAAGTTTCCATACAAACAAGCAAAGGAAAACATAATTGTCTCAAGTAAGATGCATATCATAAAAGTTAAAAAAAAAAAATGTGGTAGCATGAAGTCGTAATTATTTTCCCTGGGTTTTATTTTTTTTTAAATATGAAACAAAGATAATCCTGTATGACTTATATATGATATTTTCAAATCTCTAATAACGTATTTACAAGCAGAAAATGTTAAGTTTCGATGTGTAGTAATAGCTATCTGTTTGTAAAATACAGTATTATCTTAACTTCAACTACCATAATTCTTGACAAATATACCACTGGTCCTTTAAATTTGTTTTCAGCTCTAGTCCTACAATAAATACATTATTACTAGGACATGTAAATTAGTCCTAATAATGTTTAAGTGGAAAAGAACTAAACTAGCCTTAAATTAACCACTGGAATATTTTATCTTAGAGAACTACTTTGTATTTCTTAAGCTCTTCATATGTAAAGCACTTAATTACAAATATATCTTTTACTAGTATTACAGCGATGGTACTGCTCTGCTACTGCCTACGGAAATGCCTCCCCCCAACCCTTCTTGCAACTCTGGAGTGCTGGGATTACAGTTTATGTGCCCCAAGAACGGGTTTATTCAGCACTGGAGGCTGAGCCCAGTACCTCATAAATGTTAGGCACCCTCTGTATCAACCCATCTACATCCCCAGTCCCAGAACCCTTTTGCAGATCCCCTGATCTTAGTAATGGCAACCTGTTTTTTCCCACAAAACAACCACCACTTAAAACTGTCAAAAAAAATTACCTCCAAAAGTTCTAATCAGCTCATTTTAACTCTGTATTCCCTGTGTGTTTAGCTTAACACTAAATTAGCATTTTGATAGACCCTGTCTCCCTGTTTCTTTTTTAAAGAAATTTAATGGTTTGGTTTGAGACAGGGTCTCTCTACATAGCCCTGGTTGTCCTGGAACTCTCTTTGTGGCCCAGGCTCGCCTGGAACTCACAGAAATCCAACTGCTCCCCAGTCTGGCTCCCCAGTGCTGGCTTTAAAAGCATGTTCAACTGTGCCTGACTTTTTCATTTTTGCTTTTTAAACTACCACATTCTTCCCTCCCCTCCACAGTCTTCCTTCTTCAATGTAAACATAATCTCCATAGCATGCAGCTGTCAATACGAGGCCATGCTTTACAGGCTCAAACCTCGAAAGAAGAGATAAAACACAGTATCTCATAGATTTAAATGCTTGTGTGTGTATATACATGCTAATAATAAATTCATGAAAACAGAAATCTGCAAAATAAAGTAATACTGAGAGGTGGGGGGAGGTTACCACGAAAATGACTCAAGTTAACAAAATAACAATCCCTCAACTATTGTAATAGGTTAGTTAAAATGTAGATGAGAAACCTTCTGCACTTCCATCAACCTTTTTAGAACTATCTCACTGGCAAGCAGATCTGAGTTCCAGGCCAGGTAGGGCTACATAGTGTGATTCTGTCTCAAACAAACAGACAAGCAAAATAAATAAAAATAAAAATCACCTTGCTGCCTGAGGCCGTAGCTCCTCAGTGGAGCGCACGCCTGAAACGTACAGCCAGGGATTCCATTCCTACCACAGAGAAAAAGGAGGTATGCTATCACCTTCCAGTAACTACTACTTTTAACCCCGAATCCCTACGAAGTTTTCCTCTTACGCAGAATGATGAATAAAACAACCTTTCTGTTTAGAAGCTCGGTCGATATTAACTAAAGCCAGGGGAAGGGAGGCAGGGATTTAACCTTCCAGGCTGGAGTGGAGCAAACAGGTGACGCATAGGAAGGGATGCAGGACCTTCGGGGACAAGTCGCCCAGACGCCTCCCTGCCCAGGAGCCGAGATCCCCTTCACCGGTCCTCTGCTCAGACCCTCCCCCGCGGCTGCAGACCCAGGGCTCCCGGGAACCCGAGGCCCCGCAGGCGCCCGGCTGGAGTCCCGGGTAAGGGTCAGCGGAGGACGCCCTCCAAGGCCGCCTCCAGGGCCCAGCCGGCCCGACCTCCGTCAAAGCGGAGGGGCCTGGGAATCCCGAACAGAGAGTCCGACAAGGCTGGTGATTATGTTACCTGGATGGGACTCTAGACACGGAACCTGCAGCTGTAGCCACTGCCCTTCTACCCAACAACGCCTGTCTCAGCGCCGCTGACATTGAGACCGCCGCCATCTTCCTGCGGGTAAACGCCAGGATGGGAGGACGGATCCCCGCTAGGGACTCACTTCCTCCGTTCTCAAGGCAGTGCGGCCGCAGTGAAACAGAATCTTGTAGTGTTTGTTTCCCTTTTGACGTTGGGGGTCTAGAAAAGAGTTAAAAGGTCTAGTTGAAAGAAGTAAGGAGGAAAATGAATGAAAAAGAAAAAAAAAGAAAGAAAAGATTCAGCGGATGTAATTGTTGCCTCTATAAAAAGTAATCGTTGTTGGTAGGGTTGCTTATTTACACTGAGGCTGAGAAGCCCCAAAGAAAAGGCTCCAAAAATATCAACACCTGTAACTCATAATTTTTCAAAGAACTCGGAATATCTGAGGCTGAGCCCACTGGAAGAGCCGGAGGGCTCCTTGAGTCTTTGAGAAACTAAAGTAGTACTTTCCCAAAGTGTTGCCAGATTCTGTCTGCAAGGCTTCAGAACAGGCTGCACCCAGTTTGATGGTCTGTAGTTATAATAATCATATTTTCCACACACACACACACACACAAAAAAAAAAAACTGGCCTCGCCAATGACAGAAAGAAAGAAAGAAAGGAGGGAGGGAGGGAGGGAGGGAGGAAGGAAGGAAGGAAGGAAGGAAGGAAGGAAGGAAGGAAGGAAGGAAGATATGGATTTACGTGAGATCTAGCGGAATTGGTGGAGCGCTTGCCTGGCGTGCAGGTAGTCAAGGGCCTGGTGGTGCGGTCTCCACCGTCTCTTCCATTCGTCTCCCATCCCAATCCAGTCCCCATTAAAAGCAACGATAACCTAAGACTGTAAACAATAACCAGGTTTAACTGCCATGAATCCTGTCTAATCTTACCTGGCTCCTCCGTACTTCAACAAATCTTTTCTTTTTCTTTCTACATTCCTAGCCTCTCTGTGTCTTGTAAAAGACCGGATCTCTCGATGTGTTTTCTAGGCTAGACTTCAACTTACACTCCTCCTCCTCCTCCTCCAGCCTCCAGAGTATTATTAATACAGAGTATAAATAAATAAATAAATAAATAAATAAATAAATAAATAAATAAATAAATAAAGCTTTTCATCCACTAATGTTTTCAACATCGTTTCTCAAATGATACCCCAACACTAAGGGGGGACATTAATTTTTCAAAAGCTTAGCAGATCGCCTGAAAAATATTTTTATATTGATGTAGTCTTGACTTGGGTACTTACAATACTTGCAATAGTTCTTTTTAAGTGTATTTATTTATGTGTGTATGTGTGCCATGCCACACTTGTGGAGGTCAGAGAACTTGCAGGAGATAGTTTTCTCATTCCAATTCTCACTCATGTCACAGGTTTGATGGCAAGTCTGTTTTACCCGTTGAGCTCATAGTGTGGTCTCTTGGGGTTGTTCTTAATTCTTTTTGCCTCAATCTTTGGAATATATCCACAGTTTGGCTATTTCCCCTGCCTCTTCTAGCAGTATTCTGATCCAAACTGCAGTCCCTTTTTGTTGGGATGTTTGCCTTCGACACCCCTCAATCTGCTTCCACATAGCGGTTGGATCAGAATTCCCATCTTTTCTACTAAACACCCCAAGGGCTTTCTAGCTCAGCTTGTCAACAGAAAACCCAGAGACCTTATTATGACATTTAAAGCCCAATGTAGGGGCCAAGATACAGCTTAGTGGTATGACATTTGCTTATCATGGAGAATTGACTGGGTTCACTTCCAGCACTCGAGGGAAAAAAAGACTCTGCCTTCAATGAGGGCAACTTACTCTGTTGCCCTCATTTGCTACACTCTTAAACCCAATAGCCTCTTTGATAGACATACCTATGTCTGAAAGACTTTACCTTTGACATTCTCTGTACCCAGGATGCTTTTCCAGCATCTGGAATACTCTTCTTCCATTTATCTCCTCTTTCACTTGTTCCTGCTCTTTTCCTTTGGCCTACATCCTACAATTTTGCTCACATGTCACCTTCACTGTGAAGCTCTTTCTAAGCTCTAATTTCCATCCCACACCAGACATTTCTATACGTATTTCCAGAAATTTTTTTTTCTGCTTTACATCTTGTTTTAGCCCTTTGTGAAAAATCCTATGGTGTGACTTGTGAAGCAAGAGGAAAAATTCTTTGAGAAATAAGATCAATTTTAATTTTTTTATGATTTATTTATTTTTTATTTAATGTGCATTGATGTTTTGCCTGCATGTTTGTCTGTGTGAGGGCGTTGGATCCCTTGGAACTGGGATTAAAGACAGTTGTGAGCTGCTATGTGAGTGCTGGGAATTGAACCCTGAAAGAGCACTATTGTTCTTAATTGCTGAGCCATATATCTCCTGCCCCTAAAAGGTAAGGCTTTTCCTTACCTCTCAGAACTTTTTTTTTTTAATTCTGAAGTAAATATTGATTAAAGAAAAGTTTTCTTTTTACTTAAAATAATTACCAAACTATATAATTTTATTCTCACTTTTACCTAAATATCTACCAAGTTCATACTGGATTATCAAATTCTGGCCTCCAATTTATAATTTATATAACATTAATTTATGAATTTTTTCCAATGGATTGTTATTGCTCTTGGGACAAAGACAAAATACCTCATTTGCTCAGGGTAGGCTATTTCCTGTCTTCCTCTCTAGCCTAAGTCCACTATGCTCACTGGCAGTTTTGTTGGTATTTCCCCACCCCCAACCTGGTCTTCCATAGGCTGTTGCTCAGTGGAGTACTCTTTCTTGCCAATTCCCTCATTATCCCCTGGACTTTCAGTTCACCGCTATTATTTTAATACCATTACATAAGGTAAAAACTATACCTCAGACTTTTCCTACCTCCCTCTTCCTCGTTGATGGAACCTAATACCTACAAAAGAGACCAAAACTTCTGTATGCTTGCTTTTCCTGAAGAGATCCTGCAACTAGCACATTACCATGTCCAGGACAAATAGGATCTGAAATCTTTTAAGAGAAAGTAAGGTTTCTGGGGGTGGGGAAGGAGGAGCAGCAGGGGCAGTGTGGAGGAGAGGGAGAAGGAGGAGGAGGAGCGGAAAGAGGAAAAGGAGAAGAAAAAATAACAATGGCCCTTCCCTTCTTTTGCTAGTAATTATATAAGGGTATAATGCCCACAGTTTTGCATCTTCTGAGCAAGAAGGGATCAATGGCAGCCAACAAGACAGGATGGAGGAACAGGGAAAAGGAGTCTTTAATGACATCATTGGTCCAGCCTTGAACCAACCCTGAGCAAAATATGTCCACACTTTCCATGATATCAGATAATAGATAGCTTAATTATTACACTTCTATTTATTACACATGCTATAACCAAAACCATCTTCTCTAATGCTTATATACCAACAAAACTCTAATTTCTGTGACCGCCTCAATTCTTTGTGTAGACTCCCCTAGCATAGTATCTTTCTCCTTCCTCGTGTCTCCCTTGCTTAATTTTTAATTCCATTTAGCTGTCTTTCTTTAAAATACAAAGTCGGTTATCTGAGGAAAGAGCGTATCTGTTTCTACTGGTCATTTTCCCAGCGTGTGGCCTGCTTCATTGTTGCCCCTTGTTGTTCCCTCTCTTCTGAGAGACTCTTGGTAAGTAGCACAGGCTGCCTTCAGACTCACTATCAGGAGGATAGTCCTTCTCCTCAGCCTCCTGTGTGTTACCCATACAGGCATGCTGGTTCATTTCACCTGGTACTTGATACACCCTGGGTGGCAAAAGTTGTGCAGAAAGCTTACTGTGTTAGTGCACGCCTTTAATCCTGGTACTTGAAAGGCAGAGGCTGACAGAGCTTTGTAAATTCTAGGCCAGCCTGTTCTCCGTAGTGAGTTCTAGGCCATCCACGACTACCTTGTAGTGTCCTGCCAAACAAAGTAAAACAAAGCAAAGACAACAACAAAAACAACCTAAAGAAAGAAAGGAACTGGGACGGAAAGTGAATAAATAAATAATTTTTTTTAAAAAGGAAAGGAAAACTACTTATAACGTTAAAATTATAAAACGCAAGGAAAGAATTCTTCTCGTTTCATTATTTAGAAAAGGTTTGTATAAATTATGTTTATTGTGATTATTATCTCTAATCTATAGATCTTTCTGGTCTCTAAATAGCATCCTTGAACAAGTGTCATTTTCCAGACCTGGTGACTATCATGGATAAGAACTTCCTGTAGCTGGAAGGAATCTGATAGCATAAATCTACTTTGTTACTAAGATTTCACTAAAAAAAAAAAAAAAAAAAAAAAAAAAGTAATAATAACCACTTTCATTTTCTTATTTTTTTTACATTTCAGGCATGGGATATAACCTGGATAATGGAGCAGAAATGGCTTGGCTTTTATTTGTTTATTTTGTTTTCTATTTTTTGAGACAGGGTTTCTCTGTGTAGCCTTGGCTGTCCTAGATCAGTTTTCTAGACCAGGCTGGCCTCTAACTCACAGAGATCCACATGCCTCTGCCTCCCAAGTGCTAGAATTACAGGTGTGTGCCACCTTGCCTGGACCATGTAGGGTTTTTTTTTTAATATGATTTCATCCAAACTAAAGATTATGCTAGTAGGCTTAATAGGATAGCTAAATGCAAATTGCATTTTACTATTTAAAATAGGAGCATTAGGATAGGAATTGATTTTACATCTTGCTTGAATTTCATGCATAGTGGCCAAAAGAAACATTTATCTTAATATTTTTGATGGCATGTGAAATTTACAGTGGATCTAAAGTTGTGTTTTTAATTTTTCTCCTTGCACATGGATCTTTAATAAAGCATCCAGAAAAATAAATTAAAACCAGATATTACTATCAGAAGTTTCACACAAAATCACCAGAGGCATGGCAAAATTCCATCATCATTTACTGGCTACAAACTAATTTTTTAAATCCCATCTTATATTTTTATTGCTAATTTAATTGAAAAACCTTGAATTAATACAGTATCATCTTATAAAATTATCATGACCTCTGGCAAAGCTTTTGAGATCTTGGCAACCAATGAAACAATTTCCATGTGTAGTTAAGAACTGTTTCTTGAAATCATTTTTGGGAAATGGGTGCC